ATTTTTATCTCAGGACATTTATCTACATAAAACAAATAAAAATACAAAAAATTAGAACTTAATAAATTATACTTTTTGAGATATCTTTGCCAAGATTTTAGCCTGTTTTTGGTCTAAAATCACCTGTTTCTGCCCAAAATATATATGAAAAAAAAAAAAAAAAAATTAAAAATTATGAATTTTCTAATGTATTTATCATGTTCGAAGTAAAAAAATTTATTGAAGTTTTGTAAAATACAAAAATAATTTTTTTAGCAGTCTACCACCTTAACAAAGTTTAAATAAAAAATCTATTTTAACTATGACAAACAAAAGGTTTATTGTTAATTTATGTGCACATTCGCATGATTCAAAATGTTTAAAAAATAATACATTTGCATTCTGAATTGCAAAAAAAAACATGCTTCTAAATGCAACTTAAAAAATATATTACATTCATTTTTTTTTTATTGCTCTCTTAAATATGAACACAACATGTCTTGGAGGTTTGGGATCCCATTCAAGAACTTGACTCAAAGCATAGATAGTACTCAGTACACTTTTCAATAATGGAGGTTTGGGATCCCTTTAACAAATTTAAACATGGCTAAAGTACCAAAAACTATAAAAGACAAAAAATAACTTCATCACCAAGTTCTCTAAACCTATCATTCACCAATATTTCTGGTCTTTAAAATAACTTTTCTTCTGTTGAGTCTTGTCTCTTGCAAAGTTCACCAGACCTACTTGCTCTTTGTGAGACTAATTTGAGTTCGGCTGTCTCATCTTGTGATCTTAGTGTCAATAATTATCTTCCTTTAATTCGTAAAGACTCCAATAGTTACATGCTTGGCCTGGGCATTTAAATTCGTTTCACCCATATGACTATTCTTTTTTGTGCTTTCATTTAGCACCACTTCACTATCTCTTTCGCCTTTCACTTTGTTCTACATCGCTCTCCTTCATCTCAAGATGAAGGAGAGCGATTTTTTTTGCACTCTTTTCAATGTTATTTTTGATTAAATTGACCAAGCACTCTCTCTTTATTCATCAGCCAACATCGTTGTTTGCGACTTTAATGCTCATCACACTGAATGGCTCTAGTGTTAGTGACTCTGCAGGTGTTAAGGCCCACAACTTTTGCCTTAATCCCAAACTTACATAGCCAACTCTCCAACTCGTTTTCCAGACAGCATGAATCACTTACCTTCTCTACTTGACTTATGTCTTGTTTCTGATCCTAGTCAGTTCCTAGTCCTAGTCAGTGCTCAGTTTCTCCACATTCACTCTTAGGTACTTATCATTACGATTTGATCTCTCTAAAACTACTATCGATCCTACTAGGATCCCCCTATCATACCTCTTACAACTACCTTAAAGCTGACTGGGAATCTTTCCGTGATTTTTTTCCTGATGATCCTTGGGTATAAATCTTTCATCTTCCTGCTGAAAAATGTGCTTCTTACATAACTTCATGGATTCAGGCTGGTATGGAATCTTTTATTCCCTCTTGATGGTTCCAATTCAAGCCTCACTCTTCTCCATGATTTTCCTCACAATGTGCTGCTGCATTTTCCAATCGAATCCATTACCTCCATATTTATCAACAAAACAATTCTCCAGAAAACAGACATCTGTTTACGATTACTAGAAACCATTGTAAAAAGGTTGTCTAATGCCTAAGCCCACTATTTTTAGGTCATTAAATCTCATATTTCATCGCAAAAATTAGGCTCTCGTGACTTTTAAAGTATCTTTAACAGTATCAATATTATTATTGATACTGTTAAAGATACTCTAGAAGTCACAAGACTTCTAGAGTATCTTTAACAAATCTGTTATTCCACCTCTCCAGTATAGTTCAGATTTTGTCGCCTCGCCTAAAAACAAAGCTGAATTGTTTGCTAAGAAATTTTCATCAATATCATCTCTTGATTCCACTAGTTGTGTTCTACCTGATATAGCTAACAAACAGGTTGATCCATTGCTTGACATTCGTATCACTCCAGCTTCTGTATCTAAAGTGACTTCTTGCTTAGACTACAGCTTATGGTCTGGACAACATACCTGTTATAGTTTTGCAGAAGTGTTCTCCGGAGCTGTCGTCTATACTTTCAAAAGTATTTAACAGATGTTTGTCAGAATCTTGTTTTCCAGTCTGCTGAATAGCAGCATTTGTTATTCCTATTTTCAAAAACTTTGGAGAGTGATCTGACTCCTTCTTCCTATCATAAGCTATAATCAGCAAGATAAAACCAGCATAAAAATTATAAAAATAGCAAAAAAGTTTTTAATTGCTCCCTTTTATTATATTTCATTTTCAATTAAAAAATTTATACTTAACTTCAAAATATGAAAAAATAATAAATCATAAACAAAACCTTGAAAAATATTAAAGAGTTAAGGCAGCAACTTTAAGTTCCAGGCTTTAACTTCCTATTATAAGTGATCTGACTCCTTCTTCCTATCATATATTTTTGAATCTTTAATTAACAAATACTTAACTCTTGAATATAATAACTTACTTTTTGATCATCAATATGGATTTCATTCTTCTCATTCTACAGCTAATTTGCTAACAGTAATAACCGATAGATTTTATTGTGCATTAGATAGAGGTGGAGAGGTTAAGGCTATTGCTCTTGACATTTCGAAAGCTTTTGAATAAATAAATATAATCTTATTTTGGGGCAAATCTACTAAAAATTTAAAAATCAATCCAGCAATAATAATTAATAGTATATAAATAAAATAAAAAGAAAGATCAAAAATGTAGTTGTTTACTTATTTTTTGTGTATTTTTTTAATTTCTGGATCTACTATTTTTTACAAACAATGTGTAAGTGTAATAACATATAATTATATATAAGTACAAAATTATTCAGAATCTACACTTATATTTTTTAAAAATAATAATAAATAGTTTAATCTGTATTAACTAAGTACTCTTTAAGAATAAAAAATATATATTTTTAAATTTCCTTATTGACTTCAAGGTTTTATTTGTTGACTATGGAAATACAGCTGTTGTGATGGAGCGAGACACCCGCAAACTTCATCCAGAGTTTTTGCATTTACCTTTTCAAGCTGTTGAATGTTTTCTCAATAACACAATGATGTCGTATAAAGATTTTTTTAATGTTGATGGGTTAAGTCATGATGAAAAATTAAATCTTTTGAGGTATTTTTTCAAATGTTCTTAATATATATATATATATATATATATATATATATATATATATATATATATATATATATATATATATATATATATATATATATATATATATATATATATATATATATACATATATGTTTATATTTATATATATATATATGTATTGTGAATATAGATACAATTATTATCTGCAAAATTTAGGGAAATGTTTAAAATAATTGAGTATACAATAGCATTCAGATCAAATCCTAATTTAAGGACATTGATAACATGAAAAAGTTTAAATTCTAAATTACCACAATAACTTATTTAATGCATCTGCTGTAAAAAATGCATAGTAATAAATGAAATAGGTTTCTTTTAGACAAAAATTTATGTAAGTTAAATAAAGTTATTTCTTTATAAATATAAATATATTTTTGGATAAGTAAATAAAAGTGTATTTGTCAAAAATATTAGGCAAATAAATAAATAAAAATATATTTTTCAAATAAGTTAGGCTAATAAATAAATAAAAGTATATTTTTCATATTAGGCTAAAATTTGCTGAATTATATGCTGATAAAGTTTTAATGGCTCACATTATTTCAAGGTACATTTTCGGGTTTAAATTAACTATTATTGCTATTATATTATTATTGTTACTAATTTTGTTATTATTACTATTAATTTACTATTATTATTATTACTATTATTTTTATTATTACTATTATATTATTGGTATTACTATTAATATTACTATTATTATTATTATTAACTTTATTGTTGGCGCTGTTATTATTGATGTTATTATTATTATGAGGTAGGTAAGGTTCTTTAGCCGTTGTAAAAGCAAGTTTTTATATCAGAGAAGATAGATAACTCTGATATAAAAACCAGAGTTTAAATATGGGTAAGGTAATTAAACCTTGGGTAGTTATCTTATTAGTGTATTATTATATAAATACTACGTCATCATTTGCAAAGCAGGTTAAAACTTGAAGGCTGTTTGTTTGTAAATAATAGCTATAACTCTTTCTTATAATTTTTAAATAACATAGCGGTTAAAGGAAAAAACTTCAAGAACAGAGAGAACGATATTTTCTTAGGGAATTGGGAAACTCGTTATTGAATCCAAAAAAGAATACATTGAGTAGTGGAAGAAGACAAAAATATCATTAATTTTAATGACTTCATAATACCCCCATAATTGAAACACGTTTTGATTTCATTTCATGACAGCATTACTAATGTGAATCTTAATTGCCAACCAAAACAAACAAAAATGCTGTGCTCTGTTCCTTTAATATAATAGAGTTGTTTTTGTCAAATATTTAATTTAATGTGAAATGTTTGGTTTATCACTTTTGCTACAAACATATATATTGTCCTTTATTATTTGGATACGTTTTGTCCTTAAATTAAGAATATTGGCATAATCAATATGTCGACAAATTAAATGTCAGGTTTTTATATTTTGAAAACAAATCTTTGCATTAAACATAAAAAAATTATAATAATTACATTGAATTAAATTTTTTATTCGTTTTTAAAAAGCCAAACATTAAAATTTGTTTTCCATTTCTCTAAAAATACATTGGTTGAAAATAATAAACAGAATTATATGTTGTCGAGTACTGAAATAGTATGTTGTCAAATTCAGAAGTAATATGTTGTTGAGTGCTAATTGTTTCATGTAAAGAATTTGGCACAGGTTTTACAAAACATAATCTTAACAACAAGACAGAAGTTAGTAAACTGTATATTTTTCTTTTTTATTTAAAAAAGTTTCTATTTGTCTTTACCCCTAGATATCTTTAAGCCTAAAGGTATTTTGGCATAAGTCCTTTGGCAGGGTTGCCACTCAACCTGGAATACCTGGAAATAACATAATTTTTTTTTGAAGTTTGTACAAAAAATTTTTTTATTCAAAAATGTTTTGCTAATACATATAATTATTAGCAAGATGTGGGTGTTGTTGTAAAAGTTTTAGTTTGTCAAATATAAAGATTGTGTGTAAGTGAAGAAAATAAAAATTTTGTTGATGAAACGGAAATAATATAGAAAAGTCAGGAAAAACTCAGGATATTTAAAAAACTAAACTCAGGAAAGTATGTACTTTACTCAGGGAGTTCTCAGGAAAAAACTTTTTAAATTATAGTGGCAACCCTGTTTGATTTTAAGTATTGCCTCGATTGATTATACTCTCTCCTATCCTTGTGTTTTAAGGAGATAATGTTAATCTTTTCCTAGAATTACACAGTGGGTCAGATTGCCTATATTTGTGCCAAAAAAAATTTTTATTATTAAATATTACTAAAAAAAAATTTTTAATTGTATTTTAAGTTTCATAGTATAATTTCTCAGTGTTCAAAAATTATAACCATATAAAATATTTGGGGGGTTTAAACTTTATATGCTCATATTTTTTGAACACTAAAATATTTTACTATGAAATTTAAAATTTATCAATGAATATAAGTCTAGTTGAAAATAGTTCAAAAAATATTTCATCAACTTGTTGTTCTCACATTTGGGGCAAGAAGGTGCTAAAATTTTATGACTTTTTTGTTCCCAGGTTCCAATCATTGCAATTTTTTGCAAAGCATCCTTATTTGACATAAGTATAAACATAAATGTTTGGAGTTTGCTCCATGTCTGGAAGATAGATATCTTAAAGATAAAATAATGCTGGCGACACCCCTGCTATTATTTAAAATTATATTTTAGGCAAAGTGGTACTTTGCTGAGGCACAAACCAATTTCAAATTATACCGTAAAATCACCTAAGTTCGGTCACCGTGTAACTTCGGTCATTTAAGAAAAAATATTAAAAAAAGCGTGTATAACTCAAATTTTACAAACTTTTTTTTCTCAAATAATATTTGTAAATATGAATCTATCAAAAAAATAATGTTTATATGCAACCTGCTGAAATAATTCTCAAAACAACAGTTTGAAAAAAGTGCATATTATTATAATCTAAAATAAGCAAATTATTAAAATAAATGATCATATTTAATCTTAGTATTATTAAGAATCACCAAATCAATTACATTTACAAAAAAAAGAAATTAATAATTTTTCATAATTAACTACTTTTTTTATAAAAATTAGTAAAATTTTGAAATACTCTAACTTTAGTCATTGACGGATAAACAGCAAATGAGAACCAGTAATATTGTGAAATGTTGGTCAGTGTTGCGAATGTAAAATCTACGGGCAACTTTACCTGTAAATTTACCAGTAAATTTTGACATTTTTATAATGGATTCACACCATGGTATTTTATTTGAAAAATTCTAATATTTTGAGTTCTAAAAAATATTAAGCTTGTGACATTTTTTTGGAGATTAAATTAACGACAATTATAAATGCGTTGCGAATCTTGTGACGATTGGTTGTGAGAATCTTACTGTTCTACTATGGTCAACGATACGTGCAAGAATTGCCAATAAACGTACAAAGCTCATTTAAAACAAAGTAGTGTTTTTTTGTTCATTGAAAAAACCTTTTTAAATTAATTTAAAAATATATTTTTAATTTTATTAACCAGTGACGTAGCAAATGTGATAATGATTAAAGTAACAAAATAGTTGACTAATTACAATAAAAATTAAAAATACTTCTACTTATATTTAAAAAGGCCTTTTTTTATGTGCTCCTTGTTTTCTTTGGTGCCCCAAAAGACTTTTTTTTTTTGAGCTCATGGCGACACCCTCCTTATTAGTGGCTTTTTTGCTTTTTACAATTTACAAATCGAAAAAAAAAATTTCATCTTCATCAGGTCATATAAACTTTGATTTAAAAGCTAATAACAAATATCATTTAATTAAAGCTTTGTAAGTATGGAAAACAACTTTTATCATTAAACCTACATTAAACTCAATTTTGGTTTTTTAATTTTGGCACACTTTAACCCGCTGTGGATCCAAAATTCTCCAGTCTTTAGAATTATACAATTTTTAATCTATAACTTTATTATGTATTTTATATTTTTATAGTATAGAGTTATATTTTTCTTTTTATATAAATACAATTTAAATACATTATGTTTTATTTAATGTTATTATTAGACATAGCAATAATACTCTCGTAGTCGAGTTGTATGATACTTCTACACAGATACATACTCATATAAATCAGTTTATACGCACATGGGATGGAGTAGTTTCTACTCAGCGTACTACCAATAAACGAAATCTTGACAGAATTCTCAAAGAAGAAGCAACAGTTAACTATATACCTGGGTAAATTTCTAGGTTTTGAGTTTTCATTAGTTTCGATCTTGCATTTGATGTAGATTTGAATTAACGGTTGCGTTTTTTTATAGTTTTTGTTTGACATACTAAAAAAGTTTTATATTTCTTTGTTGCTTTTTTTTTAATTATATTTGTTAAACCAGCTTATACATTTTATTTATTTCTATTTGAAGATAATAATCATAAACTATTTTTGTAAATATTTTAAAATTTCGTTATCTTAATAAAGAAATGATACTAGATTCCATATCTCTCTCCATAAACTTAGTTTTGGATTAAAACTTCTTGCATATTGATGTATCAAATTTAAATAGATTTTCGTTTATTGGATTCCATAACTACTTATATTTTATCATAGGTGGTACTAATAAATAAAAACAAGTTTTTATTTGATAAAAATGGTATTCTTTGTATAACATTAGACATTGTGTCCATAATTAACAGGATGCGGCTCTCTTGATTTTTTTTTTTTCCAAAATTTTTTTAAGTTTTATAATTGTTTTAAAATAAAGTTTAAACTCTTACAAGATTAAAAAAATGTTGCTAGGTGTTTATTTTACTGCTAAAACAAACCATTACCAAAAAAAAACTAATTTTAAGAAAACAATCATTAACAGAATTTTAAAATTCTAAAATAATTTTAATATTTGCCTTGATGACAATTAAAATGACTCTAGTCTATACCTGAGGTACTAGGTTAAGCGGGAAGATTTTGTTTACATGCATGGTCAAACAAGTTAAACCTAAAAAGCAACCAAATCCTATATAATTTTTGTAACAAAACTGTCCAGTCTACCAGCGCAGATATTCAACTTTTGTTGCTAAGAAAAAATTTTCACCCCGCCTGACCAGAATCCCAGTAGTCCATAAATTACCCAATGCTAAATTTAACTAATAAACAAAACAAATTGGATCAAAAGTTTTTCTTTGCAGATCTTTAATTAAACTTAAAATCTATAATTTTAATGAAAATCGCTGCCCAAAAGAGCAAATGATCTTCTACTTATACTTTTTAAACAAGTTTCGCGTTGTGTAATTTATGGACGACTATATATATTTTTTTGTTATTTAAGTGCTCCCAGAAGTCCTTACTTATCACGGAGCACCGCGGGAGAGCATTTAACTAAAAGTTCACGCCTCCTTCTTTACCAATGTCGCTTGTTGGGCTAGAATCGACGTCGAACCTCGGACCTCTTAGTTCTGACCTAAAACTCTAACCACTGCGCCACGGCTGCTCACCATAGGAAAAATCTCACCTAGGCGGGGTAAATAATTTCATCTTTTTTAACTGCATTCTGTAAATTTCCTTTTGTCAACTTATTACAGACATTTAAAATACTCTAAGTACCACCATAATACCAGGATAAGTATCCTTTTTTACCGTCGCCATAATAGTTTAGTTATTTTAATCAAAACGATTTTATTAAACTTTGTGTACCAATTACTTAGAGTAGTTTAAATAAACTCAATAGCCTTATAGTATAGTATAAAAATAAGTCTTATGATATAATATAAAAATAAGTCAAATAATTTTTAAAGCACTTAGTTGTTTCAATGTCTAGGAAAGTATCTCAAACTTTAGAGCTGTTGTGTAAACTCAAACTTAGTCTCAAATCTAGTTTTCTCACCTAAATTCCGTTACTTATATATATTAACTATTAGCAGTACGGTATAGGGTTGTGTGAAAATAATGATGCATTAATGAAGAAACTAAATATACTAAACGCTTTGAAGTACTTAAAAAACTTTATAAATTCCTTATATAAAATCTAAGAAATATCAAATTGTATTCAACAAAATTTGTTCAATTGTCTTTTGAACAATAAATCTACGCAAGATATTCTTTCACAACTAAATATTTTAGTTCAGTAATCTTTTGTTGCTAATAAACAGGAAATTAGGCCGTTGTCAGACGTTATGTTTTAAAAATTCTATTTAAAAAAACTGATTTTCTTGTAAAACTACGATACCCAGATAGAAAGTTATCGTCATACAATATGAGCTTGTCAGTTTCAAATAAAAATTGGAAGACGTTAAACTAGCAGTGGTTAGAGTTTTGGCTCAGAATCAAGAGGTTTGATTCCGGTTCCGGCCAGATAAGCAATATCGGTAAGAAAGGAGGCGCGAACTTCCTAATATAATGAAAAAAAAAAAAAAAAAGCAAACTAAAACTATGAGAATTTATTAGATAATACAACTTTAGACAGATGAAAAAAGCCAAGATTCTAAAGTCGGTTTAGTTGTTTTAACGATATACTAAAACATTTTTTATTTTTAGCCTAATATTAAACTCTCGTAAATAAATGATATAAAACTGATATAAAATGTTAACAGATTGTATTGAAATTATGTAGAAAAATGACAAAAGCTAAGATTATATTAAAAACTAAGAAAAATTACATTGAAAAATTTAATTCTTTAATTAATATTTGTTATTAAACAATTATGATAATTAATTATAAAATTTTGCAAAAGTTAAAACTTAAAATTATTGCTTTAAACATACGCCTGTGGTTTTACGAACATGCTGACACTAAACGTGCTACGCTAACATATTAATAGTAAATATTTAAAAAACATATCTTTATTTCTTATTTGTCTGTCTGGTCAAATAGTCTATTTTAAATAATGTTTGTAAAAGTCATCACGACAAAAAATTCCTAGTAAAGTTACGTAGTTTCATGTGTGGGTACACTATTAACATTACAAAAAATTAAAAATTTTCAAATAAATACAGTAGCAGAAAAATGTTATGTGTCCAGTAAATTTATGTATGTCCAGCCTTAGCTAAACGCAGCTGTTCAATTTTTCGAGACATAGACTCAGTAAAATCTTGAAGGTGCTGTGGATGTTATTCCAAGCATTTTACAGCAAGTTTCAAAGTTCATCCTGATTGTGTGGCTTTTTACCCCTGATTACCTTGAACAGGATTTCACATACATGTTTAATGGGATTTATATCTGGGCTCTGGGATGGCCATTCCATTTGCTCAACACCTTTATCGTCTAAGAAATTGTACACTTTCTTAGCTTTATGGCATTATCATGTTGGAAGATAAGGGAATCTTATCTGCTCTAAAGCTCACTGGCTGTAGGAAGCATGTGATTTCTTAACCTTTGAAGGTATTGGTTTTGATTCATGTTGCCTCTACAACGGTACAAATGACCAACCCCATGCCAGAATATGCCTCTCCAAACCAGTAGAAATTCAACACCAAGTTTTACAGTTAGAGCTACGCAATCAGGAGGAAACCTGTCACCATTTCTTTTTTTTCACAAATACCCTCTTTGCTCTACAAAAGACCTGGAATAAACTTTCATCACTCCACAGCACTTTTTTCCAATCTTCTAAAGTCCAGCCTCGATAAACAATTGTATAGTCAAGTTTTTGGTGACAATTTAAGGCTGTAAGAAGTGACTTTTTCACAGCTACACAAGCTAAAAGCCCCACGTTTTGTAGCATATTGAGGACAGTTCTATCTTTATTATTGACATTATGATAATAAGACATCAAAGCCTGTATTTCCACAGCAGAATGGCGGTGGTTCGTGTTCTATGGGTTGCCTTTTTCGGCCGTCCACTTCTAGACCTATCTTTTACTTTCCCTGTTTTCCTGTACTTCATCATTATTTTTGTCACTGTGTTCTTCGAAATCTTAATCTCTAATGAAACTTTGCTTTAACTTTTGTGACTCTCAGTAACTTTACTTACAATCATCATTCGCTCTTGACAATACAGTTTTTTATTTCCAGGCATACTTGTTTAATTAGCTAATGAATTTATTAATTTTTAGTAAATAGATCTATTAGAAAACATAAGAATAAAAATAAGACAGTATTAAAACAGCACATAAATATAAATAACAAAGTAAAATCATTAATTATCAATCATAACAAACGTAAGTATCAAATAATAATTATTTTGCAACATATAAAAAACAACATTATGGTCAGTACAAACACTACAGAAAATAAACCAATCTATCTCCAGACTTAGAATGTTAAACTGGACAAAAATAAATCAGGTGTGGGCACTGTCTAATCATTTAAACCATTAAAATTAAAAAATTCACTGAATGAACTCTAAAACTAATATGAATGTTATTCTAGGCTGTTATGCTAGTATTGAACAATGTGATATTTGTGAATCAAAATATAATTACTGATTTATTATTCATAACTGTTCGGGATACCTGATCAATTTCACAATGGTCTTCACTATGCAACACGTATAGAAATAATTAGTTGAAAAATCATTCTAAGTACATATGAATAATAAATTCCGTAAAATGAACTAAATTTGTGATTTTCACTACTTTATATATATATAAAGTAGTAGAAAATCATTTAACAAAAATGTTTTATTTAACACTGTGTTTCATCAATAAAGACTCATCAGAAATCCATCAGAATTTTCTACTACTTTACAATTACTGTATGAAAAGTGATTTTCTACTACTTTATAATTGTTCTGTTCTTTTATGAACATTGAGCACTCTATTTTGTAGAATATAACTTAAAATTGTTTAAATATATATATATATATATATATATATATATATATATATATATATATATATATATATATATATATATATATATATATATATATATTAAATATTAAAATGAAAAAAACTTTTTTTATGGGACTTCAAGTTTCATGCCATTCGGCAATCATTCAGCCATATATATAAAATCATTAAAATAAAAATAAAAAATAAAAATAAAAACTTTAAAATAAAAATTATATATTTATAATTTTTTTTTCTTTCATTAATTTTTATTATATAATATAATGATATACGCATGGTTTCCTCTACTAATATAGCTTTTATACTCCTGGGTAGTCTGGTAAAATATTCATATACGCCCTAGTAAGAATTGTTCATAATGTACCTGTTTCACATTATTTATCATATGATGCAGATAGATTTTTTTGTCTTGCCTATTAGGGTGGCGCAATTTTCATAGCAAAAAAATGTTTAAAATAAATCATTTCTAAGGTGCGAATAGTGTCTGGAAAGTAAAAAAATATTTTTGGATTTAGATAAGTTTTTGAAGTTTTTTTTTGCATACAAAAACTTTTATAGGTCCTAATATTAGT